AGCTGGGATTCAAACCCAGGAAAAACTGGCTCCAAAGCCCACATTCTTAACCACCACCCAATGACGTATAATGAGGCACTATTAAGCATAAATCCTAATGGCTTTGGAGTCAGTTTAAGTTTGAACACTTGCTCTGCCACTTACTAGGTGTATGACTTTGGGCAAGCTTACGCTCTTTGTGTCTTAGATTCCTTGGCTATAAAATGGAGACAATAAATGACACAATAGATGTAAAAACATTTAGCACAGTGTCTGATGCATAACAATGTCTACTAATTAAGTCCTTACTATTTCTAATTCAACTTTCATGAATATACAAGAACAATCCAACAATGTCTAATTTGGGGACTCTAAGCAAAAAACAGCAAAAGGTCCTCTTCTTTCATCTGTACTTCTTCCTCCTATTCCGGAAATGCCTATACTGTTCCAATAATCTCAATTCCCGTAAGAAGTATATTGAGTCAGATTTAGTAGGTAGATCAGTCTTACATTCTGTCTCCCACAGATATACCTAATAACTTTGGTAAGGACAGTAGTACAGTTATGTGACAACTTCAAAAGATTCTGGACATTGCTCAAACATCTAGTATTTAATAAAAATTCACCAATATTCTTATCTGAACCTTTACTGAATTTTTTTAAAAAGCTGAGTTCATAACATCTCTTGGGATTACAAGATAACTGTTTGCTCTTACATGTTCTTTTATCACTTATTTCAAGCTTCAGAGTTCCCTACTTTAGTATTCCCACTCTTTATGATTTATGTGGTTAGATCACATTCTCCTTCAGTCTTTATTTTTTCCAGATAATACTGCTTTTGTACTCATGTGAAAGTCTCCCCATTTTCTTCATCTACTTACAACTGAATTTCTCTAAACCTCTTCCATTTTTGAAGTATTTTTCTTGAGATGATTTTAATGGGAAAAACACTGGGCTAGGAGCCAGGAGTCCTTACTCTGTTCTCTGATTCCTGATCTGAAAGATGAGAGGACTGCACTAGATAAATTTGTAATAGGTTCCCTTATACCTCTAAGCCTCCTATTTCCATGACTCTGGGTCTTCCAACTAGAAATCGTTCAATATTCCAATAATTTCCCTAAACTTTTTACTCCAAGTTAGCCAAGGAGGGGCAGGCATGTTCAGATTCAGGAGCAGAAGATAACACAGTAATTAGGAAGCCCAGGGCTACAGAATGAAAGATGTGACATTTTGTGAATCAACAGAAAAAGATTAATAAGAAATCAGACATTAAAAAAAAGAAGAAAAAGAAACCAAAGACAGAAAAAGGTCAGACATACACAACCCATCTCTAATCTCATCCCTACACATCTGCTTAAAGATACACTAAGAAACAGAAAAAGCTTTTGGCAGCAGAGGTTATCCAGCCCTCGAGGGAGTAACCCAGCTCTGTGCCATCTGTGCAATGTTGTTGCTAAAATGGCCTACTACAGTGCTCTGCACACCATAGGCATTACTGGGATATCTGATGACTGAATTAATGTTGAGATGGACTGAGAGCCCTCCTAAATGCTACCGGTACTGCTACATACCAGTAAATCTGAGAGCTCAAGGATATGGGAATTACATGGCATTGGCTGCCCTGGTTGTAAGGAGGAGACTGAATTAGCTGGGGGTGGGGGTAGATTTGGCCTAACTGTATTACTTACATGCTGATGATGCTGCAAGCAGCTCCCAGAAGGTAAAAAGGACAGATTGATAGGCATGGACTATCTTTAA